GCCTCCTATGGGATCATATCTTGCATCAGCTCAGGGGAGGAAAAAACCCTCAAATATTATCTCTCACCATTTTCTATAACCTAGTCTATTTCCTCCTTTGGAAACTTTGACTAAATATGCTAGACTTCCAACTCATTTAACCTTTTTGCTTCTCTGTGTTGGCTCTGGCTAACTCCTTCGATTTGTCTTATAGTTTACTGACTGAATTGTGTCTAAGCTGCTGGTTAATCTATTTAATACATTGCTTCTTTTTAAAATATTGTTTAAATTATTTATTTACAAGCCATTTTTGGTTTGTATTTATGCCTTCCAAGATTTTTTTTTTTTTTTTTTTAATTTTTGGCAGGGCACCTGGGTGGCTCAGTTGGTTGGACATCTGACTCTTGATTACTGTTCAAGTCATGATATTATGGGCATGGGATCAAGCCCTGTGTCAGGCTTGGCACTTAGTAGGGAGTCTGCTTAGAGAGTGTCTCTCTCCCTCTTCCTCTGTCTCTCACCCCACCCACATACACACACACTCTCTCTAAAATAAATAAATAAATATTTAAAAATAAATCAATAAGTTATTGGCTATGCTTATTATTTTAAAGTATATGCTTTCCTTTAAAATAGTCCACTCACTTTTCTTTATCTTGCACAATAATGTAAAAGCATGTAGGCTTTGTAGGTTTAAATCTGTAGATTTTTCTCATAACTCTTCCTTTTATGTTTCATTTTTTTTTCTGTGTTTTATTTTTTTGTTCTGATTTTCCATGAGAATGAACTCAATCTAGAGAAATTATGAGGTTGAGGGTTGAGGAATTTTTTTTTTTTCTTTCATAGAGGATTTGAATTTGCTTCTGCTAGAGGAAAGAGGAGTCACTGTAAACTGGAAATCACTTGAATTTCATTATCTCCTACCCAGCCAGTGGATATCTTGTTTATAAACTAGTAATCTCTTGCTCCAGTATAGATCTATGCTTAAAGTTTTTGTCTGTTTGTGTTTGGTTTGGGCTTGTTGGTTTTATTGTGTTTTGTTTTCTGTATTCAGAGAAAGAACAGAGAAAATAAATTTTGTTTTTACTACTAAATTATTCTCCTTTTTGATGGGGCAAGGAGGTTTCTTGTTTTTGTTTTTTTTGTTTTTTTTCTTCCTATTCACCTATCAGTGATGATGTATACCCTCCTGAAATACCTGGTATTGTTCTTGCTTAGCTCTCTTGTATTTGTGCATTTAAAGACTGAACCCACTTGCACTAAGCAACTAATAATCCATGGATCTCTAGATTACCACTTGATTTGATTTCTCAGGCTTTTGTCCCTATAGCTGCACCAGCCTCCATATTCTCATTTGTCTTCTTTTATGTTTTGGCTAACAAACAAGTCTGTGTTAGCATGTAGAGACTTTCCTATCTTGTGATCATGATACATTATTTAAAAGTTACAATTTATCATTTTTCAGAAGATATTATTTGCAGTGACAGGCTTTTCAAAATATCTAATCTGTTTTAGTTCAAGAGGTAAGGGTTCCTCAATATAGAAAATTGAACTCTTTGAGAAATTTACTCAGAAGTCTTTGACTTTCTTGAAAACAGAGATTGAGTCAGAATGATTTCAATATATATTTCAATGTTTTTTATTATTTCAATTATTTCAATATTTTTATCAAGGAAAGAAAAATTTCACTAAATATATGGCAGTTTTTTATCCCTCCCACTCTTATGGTGAATTTACCAGATAAGTCTAAAAAAAAAAAAAACCCAATGTAGGTATTAAGAATGGTCAAAAAAGACAAAAGTTTTATTTTAGAATTAAAGTTGATAATTAGAAACTTTAATCCAGTGGGTAGACAAAAGATAAGGATAAGAGCATGAGAATTAATATTGGGTGAGTATGTATTTAGATACATATTTACTCTTGAGAATGAACTTGAAGACCTTATCTGATATTTCTAATTCAGCTCAGATATCCTTAAAATTATAGATTGTGCATGGTCATGAATGTTTTCATCAATTTATTTAAAATATTTATGTTTAAAGCAGTGTTGTATACATTTGGGAAGGGAGCGATAAAGATATATTAGCAAGAAGCTACCCTCAAGAAGTATATGTGAGAGTAATAATGTGTCAGCAAATAACTATCACGTGAAGTACAAAGGAATTGACCAAATAAATTCTTATTAAGTAGAGAAAACTTTCTGTCTGGAATATAGAAAAGAATTGATTAGGTTTTTGTGGTTGAAGGGTGATGTTGCCAACAGCTTGCTTATTTTTGTGTGTGATTCAGGTTAGTGGAAATGTGATAAAATATGAGGTACAGGTAATTCCCTATAGGTTAGAAAGGTCAGGGCAACTCTGGAAATCTGAAAACATCAGTATGACTGAAGTGTGAGGTAATTGGTTAAAAATTTTGAGAAATAAAGTTGGAAAGGTAGTTATATTCAGATTGTACAGAAAACCAGGCTAAGGAATTTAGACATCACTTTCTGAGTGGTTGGAAGCTATTGAATATCTTTGGGACAAACAAAGGTCAAGATGCAGAGCTCTCTAGTCAGAAAAATAACCTGACAGCAACTAAATCATTTGGTTGGATAAGGAAAAAGACTGTATGCTATTGCAGTCTCAAAGACAGAAAAAGATTTGAAAGAGCATAAACCATAGAATTGATAAGGACTAAATAGGTATTAATTGCTTACATTTGGCTATACTTCCTAATTTAGGAGTGCAATGTATTCTCTGACCATGTGATTGGGAGTCAATTAGAAATAAATAGGATTTTTTTTTTAAAGATTTTATTTATTTATTTGACAGAGAGAGAGAAAGATCACAAGCAGGCAGAGAGGGAGGCAGAGAGAGAGGAGGAAGCAGGCTTCCCACTGAGCAGAGAGCCTGATGTGGGGCTCAATCCCAGGACCCTGAGACCATGACCCGAGCTGAAGGCAGAGGCTTAACCCACTGAGCCACCCAGGCGTCCCAATAAATAAAAGGATTTTGAGCAGTGGAAAAACAGCCAAAAACAAAAACCAAAACCTTTGGATATATGTATTTTAGAGGAAATAAAAATGCATTGTGTTATTTCTGCCAATGCCAAGCAATCCATGGTAAAAATGCAGAAAGTGTTAAGTCCTTGGATTGGCAAAATACCCCTCAACCCAGCATTAAACTGCTTAACTATGTATCATCTAATGTAATACTCACAGGAATCCTATGTATTATCTGTAGTTAGCCTCATTTTCCTGATAAGAATAGAGGCTGAAATTTAAGTGACTTGATTAAAGACAAAAAATAGGCACTCAACCTAGAACATGAAGCCAAATCTTCTCATTATAAATGCAAGACTGTCTTGCAGCAAACTAAGTCCAGAGGGTGAAGGAACAGAAGGAGTAAATATCGTCAGTGAGGCAAATGAATAAGTCTCAGATGTGGCAGGTTTAGCTCTACAGAAGTGCTGTATTACTTTTTCTCAAGAAAAGGGATCTGAATGAGGATAACTGAAAATGAAAAGAAATTTTGAGTATTGGGTTGAGAAATAAAATTCACATTTAAGATTCACCAACTTACCAGTAAATTGATGATGAAAGGTAAATTGCAGAAGAGAGACTGTTGATACGAAGAGAATTGAAACATGGAGAATATCTCCTAAGGGTACTGTGACTAAAAGTTATTTAGAAGTAGCAAGAGGATTTCAGAGCAGAAAGGAGGCTCTGTCAGGATTGGAGGACATAAACATGTGATGTATCCTACCATGCCAACATTACTGTTACAACCTACCCAGAACTGCCAGGTCTCTATGCCTTATTTTGGTCTTTTACATTTTGAAAAAATTAGCAAATTTTATAAATCTGGTGTTTTCACTTTCACATGAAAATCTGGCTTTGTGGCTTCTTTTAAAAATGATAAAAATGGAAGACATAGCAATTTGAAGAGCTAAGCAACAGCTGCACTAGGATTCTGGAGGTAGGTGGGTGGGAACCACTGCGTTGGAGCAGTGCCTGGGAGCTAGTTAGAACTTGCAGAACGTCAGGCCCCTCCTCAGAATGACTGAATCGGAGTCTTCCTTGTAACAATCCCCAGAAGTCTTGTAAGTTTGAGTAACACTGGTCTAAAGAGCTCTAGAGATTCGGTATGCTTCCAGATAAAACTTAGTAAAATAAAAACAAAACCAAATTAGACTGTTTAAGTGCCACCGATTGGGGACTACTCTGGCTTACTTTATAGGGTAACATGTTAAAAAGATGTTCTAGTAAATATGTTAAAAAGATTTTATAGGATCCATCATTTTAAATACTTGATTTTGATTTGTTTCTTTAATTAAAACATACAATTGCATTTAAGCCTGAATTCTATCTTTTTTTTTAAAGACGGCTAATTAAATAATCAAGGAATAACAATCCAAATATTCATGTTGGCTGTATTGAATCAAAACTTAATTAGATTTCAGTAATTTCTGTAGAATCCATGTTGGAGGAGTATTAAAAGGATTTTGTTTCTTTGGACATATCTCAGTCAATTTCTGCTCATTATCTATTTTGAAAGATGTTCGACTCTGGTGATTTTTTTAGGAAAGTTGAATTGCTTTATTTCATTTCAGGAACAAATTGGCACATTAAAACGCAAAACAGCCCATTTGTTGACGGCCCACAAGTACTTTTTCCTAACTAGAAAGATGTGCTACCAACTGGAGAAGCTATTACTCTAATTTGAATTTTGGTCACCTTGGCCCATAAGACTGCTGCCTGTGTCTGCTCCTAAGTGTTTACTAGTGAATCATTGAGTGTTAGTGTAATTTCAATGCTAATTGTTGCTTCAGGTTTTCAAATGGCTCAGCAGTAAGACATTAATGATTATTCATGCCTTAAGAAGGGCTGATAAGGGAATGAGATTACAATCTTGTACAATTTTAGCTAACAAATTAAAGTGTAAATTAAATTTTCCCTGAGACAGAAAATAACTTACTTGGAAAGTCAAAAAGAATGAGCAACTTCATTCACTTTTAATTTTCTCTTTCCTGTTTTACAGATATTCAGAGTATCAGAGGGCTAGCAGTGGATTGGGTCTCACGTAATTTATATTGGGTTAGCTCCGAATTTGATGAAACACAAATTAATGTAGCACGACTAGATGGCTCTTTGAAAACCTCAATTATCCATGGAATCGATAAGCCACAGTGTCTTGCAGCTCACCCAGTCAGGGGGTAAAGTATGATTATTTTTTTGTAAAGTTTTCCAAAAATTTCACACATTTTTGTCCTGATTTGATATAAAAACTTTAATTCAGAGGAATTAACATATCAACTATACCAGTCAAAAAAAGTTAAAATGGAAATTGTAAAAGAGATCCCTGGTTAGAGATTTCTGTTATCTGCATAAAGCCAGATTTTTATACATTATTGCAAGATTTTATTAATTTATGTTTCTAAGGAGTAACAACAGTTCAGAATTTAAGAAAAGAAAAAAAGGAGATGCAGGGGAAAGTCACTAATTTTATTTCAAATACCAGTTTTAATAACATATTTACATGTGTTTAGTTTTAATAACATATTTACCTGTGTGCTGATGTTATTGTCACTGCTAAGTAAATCAGATTCTCCCATCTTCTGGCTAATCATCATGTGCCCATGTAGAGAGCTTGTGTAGGGTTAAAATACTTTCTCCCCAGTGCTTTCAGGGGGAATGGCTGAAATGACTTTGTTTTCTTCTTTGGTATCTGGTTTCTCTAAACCCAGGGGATTCAATCTAGATGCATTACTTTAAATGGAAGTAATTTACTATATTTATAGGTAAATATTTCAGTTGTGAATGTAGGAGGGCAAAGGAAGTGAGTTGATTGTCTCCTTCAATGACAGGGAGAAGAAAGAATGGTGCTTTCTTCCCAGGCAAACATGTACCTTATCATCAGCAAGTGCCTCAACAATTCAGGCTCTTCTTAAAAAGAATTAATCTTATACCAAGAATTTACTTTGACATTAACTTTATTCCTCAGTGTATGTTTCTAGTTAACAAGTAGGTCTATCTCTAATATTTTTAATTCATATCTCTTAAATTAAGGAAACTCTACTGGACAGATGGAAACACAATTAACATGGCAAACATGGATGGCAGTAACAGCAAGATTCTCTTTCAGAATCAAAAGGAACCAGTTGGTAGGTTTTTTCTTTTTTTTTAATAATCACTGCAGTTTTTAATATGACGAACATATATAATGTATCTTTGATCTAGAACCTAAAAGAAAATATTATAGATTAGTAATATAAATTCAATCAGGAATTCCTCAATCTCATTGACTCCATTGGATCTATGTAGGGTAAGGAGAAAACATTCTTTTTGTGGATAAGAAGATAAATTCTTTTAACATGAGAGCTTTTATAGTATCTTTAGTATTGAAGTCACTTAAAACTTGATGTAATTAATAAATATCTTACTTTCAATGGTGAATATGTTGATACATTGTTACAGCGGCAATATAATATACTAAAACTTCCCCTGATCATTGTTGTGTCATTATTAATAGTTATAATGATTTAAGTATTTAGTATTTACTTTTCAACAGTTTTTATTCACTATGCAGTAAGTTTTTTTGGTTTGTTCTACCTTTGTTAACCATTATAAATCATTAGCTAAAACTCAATAGTGCTGGAAGAAAACTCTGATGTATGTACATAAAACATTTTTTAAAAATTTTAACTACAAAGATTCTTTTACAAGTTAATATGTTATATATGTTTGCGCAAATATCCTTCACATTATTATCTATCTATATATATATATATACTTTTTTCAAATTCTAATCACTCTTTCCTCATTTTTTCTTATATTGCTTTAAGAGGCAGGAACTATCACACTGCCTATTTGTCATCTCAAGTATCTTTTTTTTTTTTTAAGATTTATTTATTTATTTATTTATTTATTTGACAGACAGAGATCACAAGTAGGTAGAGAGGCAGGCAAGAGAGAGGAGGAAGTAGGCTCCCCACTGAGCAGAGAGCCCAATGCGGGGCTCGATCCCATGACCCCGGGATCATGACCTGAGCCGAAGGCAGAGGCTTTAACCCACTGAGCCACCCAGGTGCTCTCAAGTATCTTTTTTAAAATAAATCCAATAATGAACCTAGATTTTGATATCATATTACATGCAAATGATGGAATATACAAAAGAAAATCATAATTTTGCTTTGAATTAAACACAATATATTTTTAATTCTGGGGGAAAAATAAACTCACCATCAAGCTTTTTAGCAATTATTCTTATTTTAGAGATGTGGTAGTATCCTTATTTGAAGTAGTTCATTTTTACTAGGGATCATTCAGTAAAGGTTTACTATCACTAAAATTTATAATAAATAATTCTTTTCATGTAGTCTGTAGACTAAACCTCTGATGGAAAATGATAATATTAACAACTCTTTTCTTTGGACTGGCTGTTCTAAGATTTGATACACAATTGGAATTCAAGGTAGTGTTAGAAATTAAAGGCAAATTGAAATGCTAATACTTCTATGTGGAAAATGATAGGACAAAAGAAACAAGGGGCTTTACAAGATTAGGACCCATACAAAAGATTTAATTTGGACTCAAGCAATTCAGTTGGTGCTTATCTAGAATTGTTCAGAATATTTAATATGGAAAAGTGAGTATGATGAAAATAGTATGAGCAAATAAAGTCCTTATACTGTAATGTGGGAGCCACAGGTTACATCAAAATGTTAATTTATATGCTTGTTTCTATAATGGGAAAATCTTATCTTCATTAATACTAAATTCCATTCCCCTACTCAAAATAAATTTTAAAAAAATATAGCAGCTTATATAAAGAACATTTATAAAAAAAAATAGTGTTACCTGTTTATACTTTGTAGTTGGGCCTTCAAGCTGTTATGTACCAAGTGATACTTTTAAGTATATGAAAGAAGATTCAATATTCAACAATAAATATTAGATGTCTACATCACGTCAGTTATTATTTGGAATTCACTTTAAAATCAATTCAGACTGATACTTTTTAATTTTAACTTGTGCAAGACATACTATTTTAACCAAAATAATCCAGAACTCACTGCAAATGATGCCTTAAATCAGCATTAATGAGCATGGCTTGCAAGTCATTCGTTTATTCCGTACAGATATTTATTGAGTATCAGATTTTGTACTAGGCTTGACACTGCCCTTTTCCTTAAGGGACACAAGAAGCTAAATAATTTTAGATTTAATTAAGTAAATTTAACTCGGTGACCTTCAGCAAATTAGTGTTACCTTGGTAGTACTTGCTTTCCTCATCTGTAAAATTGAGACAAAAATGTCTATTTTATAAAGTTCCCATGAGGACTGAATGAGGAAAATTTATTAAAGGAACATCTGGCCTTTAATAATACAACCTGTCAGGAGTAATAATACAAGGTATATTGGGTCCAGTAGACTGGAATTTGAATGATTTGATTGTCTGCAGTACTGGTAGTATAAATGAGTTCAGTGAAGAATAAACATACAACAGAATCCTTAGAAATCTTGCAGAGGAATATAGGTACCAAGTGAGCCTCTGACATGAACAAATTTTTATGTAAATGTGAGGACTCAACTCAATATTGGTTTGCTGCTAGTTCTAAGAGGTAAACAAGTTTGAAGTGGTTCAATTCTTCTCTCAAATCTTCCCAACATAAGCCCTGGAGCAAAATGGCAACTGAGCCCTCATCTTCTTGTAGTTCTTTACAAATAGGTCTTACAAGTTCCTTCTGTAACTTTCTATTTTAACTAACTAGTCATGTTACCCAGGTGCTAAAATTGGTCTCTGCAAAGCTGAGTGAGAGACTGTGTCGTCCATATATAAATGTAACAAATCATTTTCCCTTTTTATGTTTCTGGATATTCTGATGTTCTGTGGGAAATCCTAACTACAACGTATTCTACCACATTTCTGCCCACAGATATCTTTATTTTTGATGTACAGAGGAAACAAGTGAGCAGGTGAAATTATCTCCTGCCTCTTTTCTCCTTCACTTCCCTACAATGAATAATATTTCTATGTTGGTAGGTAATTAACATATCATTATCATTTGCCATCTTTTAATGCCCACTCCAAGGTGTAAGGTACAAGAGGGAGAATGAACTTCAGGAACCTAAAAACTAAGGACAACTTAATAATTATAACATTCACACAAAACATTCCTCTTGCTATATGTGAGGGACAATATGGTTGGGGAAAAAGTTGTTTTAGGAACCAAACAGATAGGGATTTGAATCTCTGCTCTAATACTAACTCTGTAACTTTAAACATTCTTCTTTCCTTTTCAAAGGCTCAGTTTTATTGTCTTTAAAATAGAGATAATAATGTCTACATTTGGAGCTATTTTTAGAATTAAAGGCACATATACAATATCTTATGTTCCAACCACTCTGCACTTACATTCTCTAAAGAATATATACTCTAAAGAATATGTCTATATATATATTCAAGAATATATACCTTCATATAAGTACAAAGGTATTCAATATGTCATTGTTTATAATGAAACAAAATTTAGAAAGAAACTAAATCTTCATCAAAAGAGGAATGAGTAAATAAATGCAGCATGTTTATGTGCTGAAATACAGGTATGTATATAAATATATGTGAAAAGACATAAATAGATCTCAGAAACGTTGAGTGAGAAAAGTAATTAGCAGAACGGTACTTACAATATAATACCACTTATGTAAGTACAAAATGAAACATACATTAATATATATTGCTCCTGGATGAATAAATTTATAAAATAAATGGAAAGGGGTAAACTGGAAATGTGCACATCAATTTTATAATAGCAATTCTCTTTGGGAAGGAACAATGATGACATTCACAGTGAAATTTCATCTTTATCAAGAGGGACTTTACTGTATTAGTAAAATTTAGGTCATATTTCATAAAAAGATTCAAAGTAAATATAATAAAAGTTAGTATTGTTCAATTCTGGATGATGAATATGAGTGGTCATTAATTTCTTCTCTTCTCTATGTTAAATACTGGCTTTTCAAAATATCCCCAAAACAGCTTGTTGTTTAGACAAAGCTGAGCTTCTTACTTCCCACACTGAGGAAGAACTTTAAGTCATCAATGTGTTAGCAGTGTCTCAGAGAGGGAAAAACAACATTGAAATAGTAATTGAGATTTAGAAGTCTGGTGTGGGGTAGATGTTTCAGTTGGAGGCATGGTTAAGAGCATTAAGTAAAGATCATTATATAATTCTGGATTGGTAGATACAGAAAGATTTTGAGGGAATGTGGATCAAAGAGTCTTGATGTATAAAGTGTCATTTGTTGCTTTTTGGTTGAAGAGTTGATGGGCTATCCGGAAGTTCCTGAAATTTGCAGTAATATTATCTTGACACCAATTTACCAGACAAAAGTTTCTTAGAATAGTAAGTTATGACATTAAAGACCGTAGATAGTAAAGACACATTAATGTAGACAATAAGGTGTGTTTTGGGTTTTCTCATCTATAAAATTAAGCCTTTGTTTCATAGGTTCTTTTTGGCTTTTCTTTTTACTCATTTAAAATACAGTAAAAGCATCCTTTGTGAAGAATTGTGTACACTAATGTTATTTTTCTCTAGCTGACTCTGAAAAATTATCTACAATAGGAGATGGGAGACAGTTGTGTGTCTTTCAGGGTTTCATGAGAAACAGAACCACTCGAATATGTGGATAGGTAGATGAATAGATAGATAGGAAGAAAGAGAGAGAGAGAGAGAGAGAAAGAGATTCTAGCTATATAGATATAGATATACAAAGAGATTTATTACAAGGATTTGTGGAATGAGATTGTGGGGGCTGGCTAGGCAAATCTGAAATCCTCTGGCAGGATGGAAAGTCTAAGGCAGCAAGTTTAAACTGTAGACCTTGGCTACAATTTCTTCTTCCTCATAGAAACCTTAGTTCTCTTACAGCCTTTCAAATAACTGTATCAAATCCACCTAGATTTTTTTAGGATAATATCCCTAACTTAAAATCAACTGGCTGCAAATAGTAATCACATCTACAAAATACTTTGATAGCAAAATCTAGATTAGTGTTTAATTGAACAACTGGGGATGATAGCCAAGCAAGGTTGACACGCTAAATGAACATCACGATTTTTAAACACAAACTTTCCTATATTTTATCCACTCATCTA